AATATGTTGCCAACAACGTATGAGCCTCTGAGCGTGTGCGACACTGAGACTAACCTTAACAACACCGTAACCATGCCTACAATGTTTGTAACAAGCGCGTAAAATGTTTCGAGATGAGACGCAAGGTCTCGGCACGATTACTTGGTGGGGATTATCTCCCGCTCTCGATTTTTTAAAACAGAAAAATCTTGATAGAGTTCAAGAAGATGGAAACGAAACAAGTAAACGTTACTGTCAACTATCAATTATCTAGTTAACATATTGTCCGTTGGTGCCGCGGATGTTCGACATGTGCTTCAGACCGTAGGAAACATGACTAATGGCGAGACTTGCAAACTGAAGGTTTCTTTGTATTCAAATTAACTTTTTAGTTTTTCGTCATTGAAAACAATATCGAACTTGTTGCTAGACAAACGGTTCAGTTTTACTTAATTAGTCGCCCAAACAGCGAACTAGGGATTCAAGGCATGCTTTTTTTCTGGTCTCTGAAAAGGGTCTATAGATAAAACGGAACTGTTTTTGGAGTTATATGGGAATTCTCTAGTGAGAGATTTTACTGAGAGTTGGTTGGAACAGTCTGCCGGGACCTTTGTTGAGTAGTAACAATCTAATTTGTTATACCTAGACTTTTAGATTTGTAACAAACGAGTCTTTGTTGTCAAGTTTTCGTCCACTTCTGAACTACAAAATCCTAAAGTTCAAGGAGAGAGATTTGCTTGAGTGCATATTTAAGATGTGGAGAAAAAAGACTCTCAAAGAATACAATATTTCCACTTACTGGTAAGTAATGTGACAGTTGTTGCACTTTAACATAAAAATAATGGTTTCTTAATAGCAACTTCGACTTGGCAACAAGTTCTGTGATTAAAACCCTATTGAATGTTCAAAGTTATTATTCTAAGAAAATTGTCCAATTTATCCGTATCGGAGCGATTACATCCCACTCAGTTAAATGTAAATATGTGTTTTACTGTAGTAGGTCATAATTAGGTTTTTAAAATTATATTTTCACAGAAAATGTGAATATAAATGATCTCGTAGAAACGAACTTTTGGGATATATGGAGTATTCGTAACCTCTAAGTGGTTTATAAACGACCTTTTGTTCAGTTCCTTCCAGTTTTGCCTTCATCGACTTTGGTGTGTTCAAAACTTCCCAAACAGTTTCAGAGTCAATTATTTATACCTACAAGCTTAAATGGAAGATTACTTTGTACATGACTTCGTCATGGCCCTATTAATCACTAACTCTTCTTCATTCCCTTAGGGACAGTCGGGTGCGTCAGCATCTAGGAACCCGATATGATGCCATACCCAACGTTTTCGACTGGGATTGCAGCATAACTCTACATGATCGCGGGGTATGTACACATAATCTGAGTACGCTGATACAAACTATGATGAATTCAAAACCTCTTGGTTCAATATTAATTTACTCGAAGGAATGAAAGAAAATAAGAAGAATGCACTGTGCAATAACCGAGCTAAGCTTCATGTGGTTTTACGAGGTGGTACATCCTGTGAGTGACGATTTATCTGCTGTTAATTCTTTGCCGCCATCCAGTTGGTATGCAAATGGTAGTGGTGACTTGCCCACATTATTATTAGTCCCATGGATAGTTAAGACGTGATTCACTGATGAACATTCATTCGACCGCTTACGGAACTCATCTGTCCCGCTCTGCCTTGGGCCCCGCCAGAGGTCCTGACAGCCGTAACAGTTGGTAGTATAGGCAAATAGTATTACCGGCAAAAACAGGGGAGACTGGAATGACCATTCTGACTTCTTAGCCCTCGTAAGCCAGTCATACCTAGACCCAAATGGCGTCCCACCCGAGCCTCGAACTCGCGACCTCTTTTATCCGACTCAAATACCCTAAACACTGAGCAGCGAGCTCGCTAGGTTGCCAGATTAGGTCAAGAGCTATTGACACTCATTGATGAACGTTCACCCGACCGCTAATAGAACTGGCAGACGATGGCTAATAAGCCGGAAATGGTCACTCCAGTCTCCCCTGTCTTTGCCGGTAATATTATTTGCCTATAAATCGTGATTGGCGCCCTCTTGGGTGAACTGGTTTGGAGTTTG